CATTTTTTATTTATTATATAAACAGGACAAAATTAACGAAAATATAACAAAAAAAAGTGACGAAGGTGATGGACATATGACAGAAGTTATAAATAAGAGCTATTTTCTCTCATTTTTATAGGTTACGGGCTAAAACCGTTATAGTATAAGGTGATGGGTTAAAACCGTTCAATTTATCAAGGTAAAGGGTTAATTTTAGGCTTTTGCCGTGGCGTCTGTATCTCAAGTGGTACTCTTAGCGGTTGGCGAAACAAAGCATCTTTCTTCAAATTGGTAACAATTTCACAACAAGGAATTTTATTTATTTATTTTTTATACATTTCAGTGTTTAAATTTTTTGCTTTTCTTGGTGTTGCTGTGTTTAACTACTATATTTTGATGTTTCATTTGTTCAAGTGCTATAGGAGGGGATTAGTGGCGTGCCCATTGATATTTGGAAATCTAAATGGGAAAAGTTCTTTTAAAGTGTGTTCATCAAATTTTTCCTTCAAAATTTAGTGAATATTAAATTTTAAGTTTTATATAAATGAAAATGCTTCAATTAAATTTTTTGTGAGTGTATTAAAATTTTGAAAGGTCTAAAATACTCTTTTCTGACAAATAATTAAAATGTTAAGTACTTATTAATCTTAGTTAAATAAATATTAAATTAAAAATAACAATAAACAAAACTCTCCCTCTCCTTTCTTGTATTACTTGCTTAATTATTTTTATTTTAATACATGAACATAATTCAAAAATTCAATTTTAATTATCAAAATTTTGATTTTTTTTATTAATACAGTTCATGTAATTAAACAAATTCTTTCAATCTTTTTAAGTGAAAAAATATTTTGACCTTTAATTATTAACTAAAATGAAATATTTTAGTTAACTAAACTTTTAATTGTATTAGTCAAAAAAAAATTTAAATATCAAATAATTTAAAATTAAACAAAATATATTCATCTCTAATATGATGTAAAATGTAGTGAGAAAAATGGAGAGAGAGAGAGTTTGTTTGATTGCCATTTTTTTATTTTTATAGTAATTTATTTAACTAATATTAATTGATAAAAATTTAATATTCTAACTATTACATCATAAAAGAGTATTATAGGTATTATAGAAATTTTTGATATATTTATAATAAATTTTATTAGGGTATTTTCACTTATATAACATTTAAAATTGAATCTTTACTAAATAATAAAAAAAAATTGGTGGACATACCATACAGGAATTTTCCTATCTAAATATTCAAGATAATTCTATGGATGTCACCAAAGGGGTCATAATTTTGCTCGTAAGTCGCCTTAGTTTTACATTGCATTGCATACTTTGCCAATTTCTTTTGCTTTAATTTTTTGCTACTATTCTTGTGAATCTTGTACTGACTTTCTAGAATTGGAGGCATTGCCATTGAATTCTTCTAGCTTGAAGAGCATGAAAGAAGCAACAAATAATATCATTTTATGTATATAAGCCAATCTAAGGATAAATTTGTCTAGAACCTCAGATGTGTTGGCTTGACTTAGGGATTTAGGGATTTTAATACGGTAAAGGGAATGAGAAGGGAGTTTGGTGGGTTGTTGATACAGATTTTTGTGGGCCCTCAAACAAAATTCAACAAAAAAAATTATTGCACTTAAGGGTCAAAAATTCCTCTGTTAATGGGAGTTATAAACGGTGTTAGGGTTGTATCACAGGAGGGAGTTAAATGTAATGGAAGTTAAAGTAGAGGGAGAATTTTGAACAATTTGTAAATATAGAGAGGAAAATGAATGAAAATTAAAAGTAGAGAGACTATAATTCGTTTTAACCCTTTTACTTTCCCAATAATTCCCTCATCCCATTCTAGGATTCTCTAAAGATATTTGGATATCTTAACGCCTTAAAATTACAATTATAAAAATAAAAGTGTGATTTTTAATTGTTATTTTTTTATATAATTTTCAGCTTATAAAATTTTTTTATACTTATTTTGAAAGA